CTGGCAGTCATGATCCAAAGACAAACACTGACTTCATCCTTTTCCCATCTCTATCTTTAGGAAAGGTTCTGGAATCCTTTTCTTGCCCTCAGAGAAAGTAAGTGGTGTAAGTCAGGAGATATTGTTGCCCAGAAATGTAAGATTAGAAGTACAAGTTGGACAAGGAAAAAATAAAGACCAGGGTCTTTCCTAGAAATGAGAGGAGAGGAGAGGAGAGGAGAGGAGAGGAGAGGAGAGGAGAGGAGAGGAGAGGAGAGGAGAGGAGAGGAGAGGAGAGGAGAGGAGAAGCAGCTTCTGTATGAGTCACTCCTCATTCTGAGGCATATAGTTGCACAGCACTTGAAGTAAGACTCTCAATCTGGCTAGGAACTACGTGTACCCTGCACATCCCTGTTTCCTGCTGGATATTTCACCCCACAGAATGAAAATAAATCTTCCCGTCACCTGATCAAATATGTCAGGATTCCCTCTCCTACCACATAGGGCTTGTCCTGCTCTCCAGCCTCCGGGAGATGAAGCAGGACTAATAAATGTGATCAATGTGTTTCTTTTCTCCAGATACAATTTATGATGAGGTGTTTTGTGAGTATGATATATGATTCACTGTGGGATGCAACAGAGTGTTTTGGCCTTGCATCTGTAGAGGTACAGTATCTGTTTTCCCTCAGTCCATAAAACATGCAGCCCAGAAAAATGATGAATATGTTCTGCAGAAGCTCAAGTGGGAACTCCAGGGAAGTTCCTTGAAAGTGTTTCTAAATAGGATATTCGTTTTGCTAGTGAAACAAAGAAAACACTTCCAAGTCTCTGCGCCTTCTCCAAGCACCCATTTCCCACCCCTGCCCTTTTCCCAACTTACTTCCAAAGCCTACAGAAGGCAGGATTGATTGAGGGTCAGTGCTGACTCTAGCCCCTGTTTTCAGCTTTGGAGCACCTGGCAGCCTATGTCCATAGCTGGCAGGTCAGCAGTCATATCTGGACGTCCACAAACCAAAAGCCAGGGTTAGTCCAGGGATATAAACCTTTTGCAAGAAAAGTATGTTATCTTCTGGCTGTGCAGTGAGGGAGCCTGGTGTTGATGTGATGAATTTTTCCCCACTCGTAACTCATCCTGTCTCTTGCACTCATCCCAAGCTCTGTTTATCAAACCTGTTGGTCCCACTGCTGACCAAAGACTGCATTAAATTGGTTCATCAATCATCTGGCTGTCAGACACAGTCTTGCCAAGGAAGGGAGGAAATGCCATAAAACTCCACAGATGATATAATTCTGATTAGGAAAAGTGCTTACTTCTGCACCTACTTTTAGGCCCATTAGAATAGCTGTTTTGCAGATCTTACAACTTAAAGCATTTAGCTTGAATACGATTTAGTGAATCAAAGCCTTTGCTAATGGGGCATCTGGATATTCATTACTGCACCAGTTTTTGACTTGTAAACAGGATTATAAACAGGAGAGAAATTAACTTTTTATGCATGTAGACACATAGTGATAGACAGTAATAGAGGGGGAATGGTTTTAGACTAGATGGGAGACTTAGATTACATGTCAGAGGGAAGTTTTACAGAGAGAGGGAGATGAGGCACTGGCTCACACTGTCCAGAGAAGCAGTGGATGCCCCATCCCTGGAGATGTTGAGGGCCAGCTTGGATGGGTTCCTGTGCAGCATGAGCAGTTGGGTGGCAGCCCTGCCCATGGTATGGGGGTTGAAACTGGATGATCTTCGAAGTTTCTTCTAACCCAAGCCATTCTATAATTCTATTATATTACCCTCCACAGTCAAGCATGATGAGCCAGATAATGCCAGCTAAGTATTCAGCTGTGTAATACTAATAGCCGGGGCCATGCTTTTCAGGAGAAAGAAAAAATGAAAGCAAATATTTTATCATCTGCTTCAGTGAGATGAAAGCTGGCTCTGCCAAGAGGAGCTCCCAGAAATCCATTTCCAGACTGGGTAATAATGGCTGGAAGAAAATTGTCTCTGTACCATTGGCATGTAAGCCAATTCTATATGGCGTTTTCTAGAGCATGGTCATCCTGGGCATGAATACTCCCAAATGTAGTGTTGTTTTTTTACTTCAGGCAGCAAATGGGCTAGGCCATAAACTATTGGATGGCTACTACTACTAAGGGACTTTCTCAAAGTACACAGAGATACCAAAGGTCCTTGATTTATTGTTTTTGGCATTTGGTTTTTTGTTTGTTTGTTTGTTTGTTTGTTTGTTTTGAATTCAAGAAAATTGCTTATTAGTTGCCAGATGCTAGCCTTATAAAATTGGCCACAATTGCATTTTGTGTAGTAAGTGTTTTCCAGAAATGAAGCCATAATTTGCATACAGTGACACTCGGGAGTAAGGGGATTATTTTAGTAATTAGGATAACAACAAAGAATATTCTTAGTCATAAGTATCTCTCAGACTGGTCTTACACTAATGGAGGATGGTTTAGATGTTTCCATCCCAGTGGAAATCTTTATGAATGGATTAAAGGAGGAATGTATAATTATCCTTCCCATGTGCTCTTACTAATGCTCTCTACACCCAGAATTGCATATAGAAGGGCTTTGATTTTACTAAATCACGAGATATGCATTAGATTGAAAGAAAAAAATCATTTGCAATAGGTAATTTATTGGAAATTGAAATTTCTGTGGGAGTGTGGTCCAGTTCCCCAAGTAAAATCAAACTATTTCACAATGTCAGAAGCTGTAAAATTCACACTCTATGGCAACACATAATTAATGCAAGACATCTGGTTTTGGCCGGACTGAAAATTTTAGCAACGAGGTGAATTTTTCAGCATAGGTGCTATCCTTTCACAAAGGTCAGGACTGTCCTCAAAGAGCTTATCAATAAAAAAATCCAGTTCTTTCTGAGCTGATTTTTCTCTATGTTGAAGATTCTATCAGAAAAAAAGGCTACTAGTGCCCAATAAATCAGCTTTCTGAATCCCTTTGGGTTGCTTTACATGTCATTTTTTGGGAGATCCAACTTGCCTTATTGAATCCATTCAAGACATAGTGTCAGGTTTTCAGATTACTTGACAGTGTGGTTAATGGTTTCTTTTGCCTTTGAGTTTTGGTCTATTTTTAAGTGGGAAAAAAAAAAAAAAAAAAAAAAAAAGCTGTCTGAAAGCTGTGCAAAGTTTCTTTTAAAAGGGATCTGTCCAAAACATTATAGAATTTTCCATAATATAATATGACACTTGAGAAATGTCAAATTGAAACATTCCAACATTCTCAAGCTTTTCTTCCATTTTGAGGACGCTGGAACTGTTTCCTTCTGTTTATCCAAAGGTACAAATAACTTCAGAGTTCTGAATTTGCTTTTGTGCCTGACAAATCCAACCTAACTCCAGTGAACAGGAGCCTCTCTGTTCCAGGCTTTTATTAACTCTCTGGTGAATAGCTACTGCTTGGAAAAAGTCTTTGAGGAGAGCTGAATGACCAACTCTTTGTAAAGTTTTCTATGTTTCCATTATCAAGACTTTCAAGCAACCTTAGTAAATGTGTCCATGATCCTCAAAGTACCAGTGCTCTTTTTCTAGAAAGGATTCTACTTTGGAGTCTCTGAAGGTCCCAGGCAAGATACTGTTGAAATCATTGGTCATCCTGGTGAGGGGCTTGCCTTTGCAAAGGGGATAGGATGCCTTCCCCATCTGAACTGAAGGACATGATGCTAAGTGTAAACCTGAAAGTTGTTTATATGCTGTTGTTTGGAAATGGTCGTTTTCCTCCTGCTTACAGCCTGGTCCCACTTTCTTTCAGTATGTATTGTTTGACATTGTTTCTTCCTGGAACATTTATAAGGCATTATGCTTAAAAAATTAGGTTGATAAATGAAAAGAGGCAGTTCTGATAAAGTCATTGACAGAAAGGCCAGAAGCCTTGTTGTCATCTTGGAAGCTTGTCATTTGGCTGCCATAAATCGCTCTGAGTAGCAAGATAGTAAAAAAATTAAAGATAAAAATAAAGCAAAAACTGCCCAGAAACTTAGATGACAATGAAGCAGAAAGTGTCCCAGCAAAATGATCATTTTTGGAGAAACACAATTAAACCATTAAGAATTCCACACTCATTGTAACAAGGGAACAAAGACTGTCTCAGACCTTAAGTTTGTATGCCTTTAAAACACCTTTCTTGTAGGTAGCAGATCTGCTACTGCCTCTGGGTAACCCTGTCAATATCACACCACTGCCCATAAGAAGACATCCTCCTTTCATGCTGTAAGATTGAGAACCACTGAGAAAGCGCCAGGCAGTCTTGTCAATGAGTAGATCAGTTCTGCCCAAAACTGATTTTCGATTGCTTGCTTTCAGCAAGAATTTTGCTTTTGTTTTGGGTCTTATTCTTGAGAATGCTTGGAAATAGGATGCTAGAAGAACCAAGATTTGAATACACCTGAAACTCCAGATGTAGCTTTCTGCAGGGGCCGTTCAGTTGAAGTCAGTGTGACCGTGGGATCACCACAGTTCCAAATCAGCTCAGTTCTGTATTCTAAGTTCATTATTTCAGCTGTATTAACAAGCTGCAACTTTGTGGGGTTTATTGTGCTCAAGCCTAAATGCCTGGCATGTAACTTTGGGATCTGCAGCTGAACAGGTTGATTTCAAGACAGCTGCTTGAGTACTCAAAGCCACGTAGAAGATATGATGCCATTACCAGAGGTTTGGATCAGTCTTACAAGCAGATCCTTGGCTCACAGCCCATCTGCCCACTTTTCCAGGAAAGGCTGAGCCATCTCAGGAATCAGTGTGACACACAGTATTAAATCCTACAATATGTTTAAGCTTAAAGGCACTTAAAAATAGTACTTGAAATGCCTTTGGTACTGTCATCATCTTAATTGCACAAACAATCTAATTCAATTAAAAAAGTAACTGATTTCCAATCAGTTTGCTGACATATTCCAGAATATGTTTCAGCCAAGAAGAGTATCTTACCTTCATTTCCAGATGAAACAAATAAATGTCTTGCATTGTTGCTGTTCTTTATCTTGCAGACAAACAAAGCTGTAGCCAAGGGAGACTTCCACCACGCAAGCTCCAGCTCCCGGCGAGCACTCTTCCTTGCTGTGCTGTCCATCACAATTGGAACTGGCATCTATGTTGGGGTGGCTGTGGCTCTTATTGCCTATCTATCCAAAAACAATCACTTATGAGCCTCAGGAAAGAGGGACAACCAGCCGCCCAGCACCTGCACTGCAGAACTCCACCGCAGATCAGACTGCATGGTTTTCCAAAAAGATCCAGAGACATAGAAACACCTTCTGGGGGCAGGTACAGGCTAAGATGAGCTTGTGCATTGCAGTAGGGTGGGAAGCTGGCTGAGATTGAGATAGTTGCTGTATTTGTGATGCACAAGTCCCGCTTCTCTACATGAAACCTTGTGAAAGGAATAAAGGAAGAAAAGAAAAGAAAAGAAAAGAAAAGAAAAGAAAAGAAAAGAAAAGGAGAAAGGAAAAGAAAGGATAAGGAACTAGGGGGAGTGTGGAGAAGGGTATTTTGCCTTTGCCTTCTTAGCAATATGGTGTTTACAAGAAGCTGGCAAACTGAGCTGTTCTCTTAATACCTTCTTGGTGACATGAACTTTGCAGCCAGCATGAGCTTGTGCTTTGCTTGCTTGTTGAGCACGGCACTGAGATCTGAGAAAGCATGGACAGTGGATGGTTCTCTGAAAGAGCAATATAGCAACAGGAGGAAGAATACTGTTTTTTTTGTTGGTTTTTTTTTTGAATGCAGGACTCATTTGCCTAGGAGTAAAGCAGAGACCTAGCAGAGAACAGTGTTGCCTACTCTTCTTGTGTTGGTAGGTGTCTATGGAAGATAAAAAGGAGATAAAAAAATATTTTTTCTTTCCTTTCTTTGATTCTGGATTAAGATGTGACCCACAGACCCACCCAATACAGAAAAGCTGAGGTTACAGCATGACTTGACTCCGCAGACTGAGCGTGAGGTCGAAGTAGCATGGAATCCATTGTATAATGAATTCCTCCATCCAGTCACACCGTGGTAACAGAACATGCCCATGGCATATTGCTTATCAGGATTGCTCCACCCTGTTGTGGTGACATGCATAGCAGCAAATGCAAGAAATGTGGGGGGAAAAGTGCAAACTGGAATACTAACCAATTTTAAATTACAAAACATGGAAAAGCATGGGAATTAACCAGAGGAAGGAATGCTTCATATATTTCTGAGGTATTGCTCATACACAGAGCATAGAAGTGGATTGCTTTGATTACAAGCTCATGGCTCATCCATGGACCAAGGACACAGAATAACCATGGATGTCTTGATAAGGAAAGTAATGGTATGTTGCAAGGAAACTGAGCATTGTCCTTACACTGACTAAAACAATGCATCTCTTTTCTTCTTTACTCCTTCCCCACAGTCACCCTTTTATTTTGTTGTCTTACAGATGTATATCATCCCACAAAAGATTTATGTGTATAGATATATATGTATCCGTGTATGTATACATGTATATCTATACAAATTGATAAACTGATTGAGACAATAAGCATTTTATTGCTCACTGCCTTATGTTTGTACCAACACAATTGATTTGTTCAAAAACCTTTGTGTCCATCTGTATTTAGTGTCTGTTTTGCTCCAGGACAATTATTTTCCTTCTGTTTGGGGGTTGGCATTGTTTTGGGTTGGACTTGACTTTTTTTTTTTAGGAGGGAGGAGAACAAACACATCCAAAACTATTTTTCTGCTGGTTATAAAGTTTATTAAAACACATGGTATACAGCTTCTGACGCTCCGTGTGACACTTTCTTTGGATGGATGTGATGTGTTAGACTGAGTGAAACTTGCCACAGTGCAGAGTTAACCTACCTGAAAAAATATCAGTATGGACTACCCCATATTGTTTCTGCATGTAAAATCCCATTGAAGTCACTGGCAGTTCTTTTGCTTTGATCTGTTGGGCTTCAAACCAAGCTTGGACACCAGCAAGGTACTTGTATTCATCTTCAACAGTTCCCAACCACTGCTGAAGCCCAGTATCTATGACTTTTTTGGCCTGGTTGCACTACTAAAGAAAAGTAACTCTGTGGCTCTTCGCCTTCAACTCCTATTTTCTAGCAACTGCCACGGACACCCCTTTGAAGGAAGGCACCAGTGAGTGGGCAAGTCAGAATCTCCTACAATGGGCAGTTTCTGGGTTTGAGTAAGTGGTAGAGAAGGGCACAATCTGCAGCCTCTCCATTCCAGCTATAGTGCATACAGTAGGCTGCAAAGCCTGTTGTGGCTTTAAAACCCTAATGGGCGCATGTGTTGCAGATTTCCATTCACCCACCTGGAGGTGGCTATGACCACTTGCATTCACGTTTGTCACATTTTGAGCTGTTTTGCCATTCAGAAAGAATGGGAAGTTTATTTCTTGGTTGTTTTTGAGGGCACAGTGAAGCATTTCTGGATCTGTATAATTACAAGGTCATATATACTAGGCCTGAGCTTATGTCAAACACATCTCAGTACAGATCTTACCATGCCTCAGTTCATAATGGATTAATGACTCAGGCTGAGGCTAGGAAAGCCTTTATCTAAGGGGCAAAGACAAGAACTGGATATACTGGTTATTTATGTAGCTTAAATGAAGAGATTTCCATTTGAGCCTTTCCCATTTGTACATCTGTGATGTGTCCTGGCCCAGCTCCCAAGCTGGCGAATGCATAAAGCTCTGCCGCCCTGATAGGCTCAGCTAGAAGGAGTTGAGAGGTGTGTGATTCAGGCTCTCGTAAGATATCTGAGAGCAAGAATTGCTGCAAGAACCAAAGGTAGAAGTGGTACCTTGGACTGTCTATGACCTTGTTTGCTCTTGTTGAAAACTTGAGGCTGGCAAATCCAGGAAAAGGCTTTTCAAACACCTCTGGGGGGATTTCTAGCTACTTTTAGTAGCAAAAGGGAGGAGGGCCTGCACACAAATGGAATCAGAAGTCCCTGTTGCTTAACCTAGGAGGACTGCTCTGGAATGAGGCAGTCACACGAGATGCATAGCGCATTGCAGGCAACAGCCTGTGCAACACACACTGCAACTGACACCATAGGAGTACCACCTACAAACCACCCTGGGCCATGGGCTGCCAAGCTCTCTGCTCGTTAAGATAAATACAAAACAATAAGTTGTAGTGTCACCTTTCTATCCATAAGCCCTATGTCAAAGTAGGTACCACCTGCCTACTTCTGGCCAGAACAAACCTGGCATAAACTTCCCATTGTGTGCTCAGGCTGATTTGGCAGAAACACCAGTGTGTGCATCTGCCTTACCCAGATGACGATGGTATTTCTGAGTGTACAAACCTCAAAAACATAACCAGATAGAGGAATATCTTCATAAATTGCTATAGCAGTGACTCCTGCTGTTTGGAGCCAGAACATTTAAGACTGGCTATGAAATTTTGTCAGCAGCTGCTGAACTGAAAAAGCCCTCTGCACAAGATTGTTATTCACTGTTGGCTGCTGGTTGCTGATTATTATTACCTGTTTCTACCCCCTCCATTGGGAAGGGAAAGGTTGTGCAACCCAGGAGGAGAGGCAGGGATCATACACCTGCTGTGAGTGATGAACTGGGAGAAGACAGGAAAAAATACTGCCAGGTAAAGAGCCCTTGAATATTTATTTTCTATGGAGAAACATCAAGAAAATGATTCAGGGTTCTCTCCTTTTCCAAAGCAGATTTTTGAAACTGAGTTAGCTTACCTGTCATTCTGTTCAGCTTGAACTTACCCCTTAAACTTACCTGTTATTCAGAAGCCATTGCTCCTTTTATGCTCTCTCCAGGCTTCAAGAAGACAGTTTCTAATAAACTTCACATTTGGATTACCAAGAGCTCTCTTCCTTCCTGCACTTGGACACACAGAGCTCCTGCCTAGTTTACGAAAGAGCTTTGCCATCCCAGAGAGGAAGGAGAGGAGCCAGTCCCCCAAACACTACAGCTGCCTCATTGCTTTCCTCCCTTTTTGAAGTGAGACCTTCATCCCATATGTGTTCAATCAGGAGGTGTCAAAGAAGTGGCACTGATATCCTTACCAGATGACAGGGTAGAGTGATAGCTAAGATTTACTACAAGGGAAAATATCAACCTGCAAAGTGCAGGGTCTGAAGGCTCCAACTTAATCTTGTAATGTAGGATGTCACTCTGGATTAGTCTCAAAAGGTGCATGGGGAGTGCAGGAGGCTCACTGAGAGGGGAGAAAAAAAAGCTTCCTTTTGAGAGCCTCAGAGCTCACGGGACCATAGAGACTCTCCACTAATAACATGCTGGGTCAGAGACTAATTCCACATTGCATCTGCCATCCAATGGGATTTCATAACCCCCTGATACCTTCAGTGATTCTTGGTACCTTCGCTCCAGAATCTTGCTAGAGCTGAGTGTTTTTTATTGCTGTCTGAGCAACTGCTGTCAGTCTGAGATCTATTTCTCCCATCTTCCACACAACACCTGACATAAGGCAAGCATCGAGAGCTGCCTGGTGAGGCAGGATGGGGGCACACAAACTACTTGTGTGCACTACCTTACACTGGGGCTGGCATAGACAAGGGGCAGGCACCAGCGTGTTGCCCATGGCAGTGACAGCCACCTCTGGGCATGCTGCCATGCTCCATCCACAGCTTGGGGAATGCCACCTGGTGAGTTGCAAAGGAAATTCACAGGCAGCTAACAATGAGTGGGGCCCCTGAGGAGAGAGGATGACAAGACAGACAATTTGCTTGATTAAGCCAGCCCAGCCGTTCCTAGTATCCTGTGTTAGCTCTTCCTGCAGGAGCTGAGCACAAAGGATGCTCTTTGCTGGCTGCCTGACTTTGCTCACAGATGTCACATTACCAGGATGGTACTTCAGGACGTTCGATCACTGCAGCCCATGGTCCCACGTCTCTGGTGTGGCACAGAGCATTGCATTTTGCTTGAGACATCATGAGCAGCACTCAGTGACACAGACATCGAATCCACAGCTGCACCAAGGGAGGGAGAGTAGGAGCTGTTTGCGCTGTTGTAGCTTATGTCATGTGGCAAGGCCAACACGTTTCATATTTATCAGCTCTGAACCAGCACTGTTGCTCCTACTGCCTGCAATGGTAAGAAGGTAGGACTACTCCTCCCAGAGTACTTTGACAGAATTCTCCAGCCATGCCATGGCAGAGCTGTCTGTGAAAGGCAGCAGAAAGGTGGGAAAAGGCTTTATGAGTTGGCTGGTAGGAGAGAGGCTGGAATTTTCCATATCTGCTCTACAATCACACATGGCCACAGTGCTGGAAAGCAGACATCTCTCTATGGTGACCTATTTTGCTGGGATCAAAGCCCTCCATCTCTAGACCTTTGTGATAAGTAACAGACTGTGCTTGTGCAAAGGTAAGTAACCCAAAGTGATGCCCCAGGTGGGTTAAAT